ATGTACTTTGAAGATGATTTTACAAACTACTTCTGTTTTCCTTGGCATATAGCATTAAAATTATAGATTCCACTCCCTAGTCATTTGGGCTTGGCATTATAGAGAAGGGGTAAGGGAAATCAGTAAATTAGTGTGCACATTAATTATCTGCAGATGTGCGATAAAAGCATATGCATTGTATCATGCTCTTATGGTATGGACAGAAATTGAACAAATAAAACCTGTTGAGGTGGTGAGATTCTGTGTGTTGCCGATTCTGCCATCCAAAACCAGTAATAGTGATACCCCCCTTTTTTTTACTCCATAAACAGTTCTTTTACTTGAATCCTCCCAATTAATTGTATTACATTAATTACAGTAGTAATTTAGGAACATGATGTAAATCTTAAGCTGATTTTACCTGGACATTCACTAGAGTGTTTTATGATATGGGGTGCAGTTTTCTTGACTTTGTTGATTTCCCAGGGGTGTCTCAAAATTAGATCACTGACTATTCAATTTCAAAACCATAATGATTGGGTTTTAATTGGTAAAATATCAGTGATTTCTTGTATCACATTCCAGACTATGTTGGTAGTCAGAATATCAGTATTGAGTTATGAAATATCTATCACTGCTGAAGTTATGTCAGAAACCACTAACAGAAGAATGAAATCATCTTTAAGAATTTAGATATTCTAACAAGTTATCCTTCGCGATGGAGAGTTTTCCCTAGGAGCACATTCTAGGGAGTTATGTTTAAAGCTTTATTTATGCATACAAGAACTGGGGCAGAGAAGGGGCAGAGGTGTGTGTGTGTGTGTGTGTGTGTGTGTGTGTGTGTGTGGATTCACCAGAGACAGAGTGGGGAACAGTACAGGCAGGTTGAAATACACTGCTGGGGGGAGAGGAGGGCAGTGGGTGGGACAGGAGAAGTCTGTTACACCATGTGGGTCAGCTCCCTGGCTGGGGATCGAACTCATGCTGCAGTGGCTGTGGATTGCTTCAGAGTGCTGAGCTTTCTTTAATCCATTGTGCCACCAGGGAGGGTGCAGTTATCCCATTTTTGTGTTTTTAATTTTACTGGGTATTGAACACATTAAAATGAATTCCTTTGAACTGGCTTCATGGTGGTTCAAACCTCCCAGGAAGTCCTAGTTAGAATTGAAAATCCCAACCAAGCTATTTTGTATAAGGAATAAGACTGTTTTGCACTTTCTGGAACAGACTGCTAAGTCTCAGGATCTGTTCCATTTAACAGTATTAGGTAATAAGGTGTTTGTCATACAGTGAAGCCAAATGACTTATAATTTGGCATTTTTGGTGAGGGAGATCTTATGTGATTCACTCATTAGTTCATCAGGCAGTGTGTCAACTCTGATAAAGCATTTAGCTAAGGTTGTACAAGAAGTGTTCCTGGAATGGAAAAATAAAGACTTAGCGACAAAGTTTTATCTTAGTTTCCCTGATTTAAGGACTATTACCGGTTTAGAGCCACATGGTGGGAGTCTTATCAGACTATTGTCTAATTTACTTCTAATTTTGACCCACCATTAGTCAAGCTATTAAATACCCTTCACCTAAGGACTCAATGACACAATATCTTTTGCTTGATTAATATTTAGTATTTTATTTGTAGTTGATTGTGTTAATTTTTTTTTTTTTAGATATATTTATTTATGCATACAGAGCTGGAGTACAGGCCAGAGGTGCAGGGGCAGGGGTTG